CGCGAGGAGGTAGTAGAATGCCGTATATTAGTGTATATTGTATGTTCAAGAATAGCAATCATGACCTCCGATATGCCCAAATCCCGTATCTCACATTTCCCGCCATGAATACCCTATAAACGCCGCCACCTCCTCCGCGGCCGGTCTCCCCGACCGCAGCGAAATAATGTACAAGGCCGCATCAATGCCGGTGGTGATGGTCCCGGACGTGACAATGCGCACCCGAGACTCGTTCATCCCCGCATCGACATAGTGTACAGTGCCCGTTGAATTCTCCCGCACCACCTCCGTCCCTTTCGCCCCCGGTGTCCGACTCTTGTACTCGTCGCACAGATTTCGCAAAGCCCCAAGCCCCAATCGGTGTGATGTCGCTGTGAGTCCATCTAGAACGCCTGTCGCCGCCAGAAGATACGATCCGCTGCAAACAGAAAAAAGAATCCTCTCGCCCATGGGCCCGTGACTTTTGGGGCCGAGGTTCGCAAACGCAGATATCAGCTCTAACAATTCGTGGAGATGGCCTCCTGCCGAGATGAACGGGAGGATATTGTTCCGTCGCGCCCTAGGACCGATAAGCATATCAAACTCCGTTAGTCTGTCCTTGGCTTCGGCGATGGACAAATCCCGTTTGAAGGTTACATTTTCCTGAGAGGTGGTGAATTCGTCATGGGCGGCTATGAACGTGGAGAAACCGCCCTGGAAGAGCACGCCTATCGGGCCGTTGGTGTCGAGAGTATTGACAGAGGGGTAGATGAGGACGAGGGCCGTTGGCATAGTATAATTGTTATTGTACGGTGTGGGACATGCGGTCTGACGTGGCGAGTGGGTATGAAGGATCACACTTGCAGTTGCAGATTGAGAGAAACGGCGGTGAGTCTCACGTGTTGTCCCGCTGCTCGTGTCGGTGACTCGGGGCTGGCGCGGAATCTCTCCGTCAACAATGCGCATCGACTTTTACAACAGGTGGTGTCGCGTGTGGTTTTCAACGAGACTCCAGATCGTTACTCTGCTGATGATCCTTATGCTGATTGACATCCATCTCTTTATATAATACGGAAATATCAACCAGAGGAATGCAACCCCAGAGATGAATGACGTCATGAATCTCGACAAGCCAAGGGAGAAAATGAGGAAAACCGTATATCAATTGACTCTGTTATTGTTCTCATATACCTAGTCATTACTGACTGTGACTGCTATCTACAGAGTAAATGTCCCAGTCAAAGGAAGATCGCGACTCGACCGGCCAACATACACCTGATACGTTCCCCGCTGCAAGGACCACTGTTGAGCCCCGACATCCCATGTACTCAGATCACGTCGATTCAAGGCGAACTGCACCTGTGCAGTCTCACCTGCTGAAACACTGACCTTCTCGAATCCACGCAATTGCCGTACGGGACCATTGGGGATGCCGACGTAGAGCTGTGCCACCTCGGCACCGGCGACACGGCCACTGTTCTTGACCTCCGCAGACACGGTGACAATTTCGTCCCAGAGATGAGGGTTTCCACCTTGCTGGATAGTAGCTGACGGAGGATATTGAGGAGATTTCTTAGGACTGCTTATGCGCAGGCCGGAATACTCAAAGCTCGTGTACGACAGTCCGAAGCCAAACTCGAACTGTGGGGTGATGTTGGCCTTGTCAAAAGCGCGGTAGTCAATGTACACCCCTTCGTCAAAGTCCGACTGTGGGAACAGTCCATATGGGGTCTCTGGCAGGGATGGATGCAACAGAGCACCGTAGTCCTCGGCTTTCTTAGCCACTGTGTACGGCAGTTTCCCGGATGGATTGGCCCGGCCGTAGAGCAACTCTACCAATGCCCTCCCACTGTCCTGGCCGGGTAGATGAGCGAAGATGACAGCCGTCACATTCTCATGGTTAATCCACTCGCCGACCACTCGGATCCCGGCGTTGTGGATGGTGACAATAGTATTGGCGCATTTTCCAGCAACGTTCTTCACCAGGATATCGCTCGAGTTGTCAGCAAGTCCAGGGCGGTCCCACCCTTCTGTGGCGTAGGCGTTAATGAAGACCAGGCACGCGTCAGAGGTTGGATCAACGTCAGGATCCTGTGATGAAAGATCGTACAACACGGAGGTGCCATCATCGTATGCCTCGCGCTGGATGGCATCTATAGGAGCGTCGACATACGCAGCGTTATTTGCCCCAGAACCACCTGCAACCCACAGGGTGTGATTTTCCTGAATGGCAGGGTTGTATGTCATCCAGTTGAAGTTTTGCTTCAGCGTATCCGGTCCTTTTGCATCGTATCCGAACACGGAGAGCAGCTGAGGTGACTTTAGTGGTAGGGCGCTGTTGGTGTTTTTGACGAGAACATGGCCCTCAATAGCGCCTTGGAGTAATGTCTGCTTGAAGGACGCTTCCCTTCCTATTACCCGCTGGTGAGGTGTATATATGTCGGTCGGCATGCCGACACCAGGAGATGGAAAGTCGGAATTCTGGTTCGTTTGATACCACGATGCGATGATCCTGTCTTTGTCAGTTTGGGTTGGACAATTCAGCAGGGCCAGACTACCTTGTGGCCATGTCATCCAGTCTCGACGCGTCCATCGTTCCGTTGGAAATAGCCGTCGTGAGATTGGTTCCCCATGTTTCGGTGCTAGGCATCACCATGTCCAGTCCAGCGTTCGCACTGGCGATGCCGGCATGTTGAGCGCCCCAGTCGGTCATCACATATCCTGATCCGTCAGCTTGGACTGCAAAATGGAACAAGACGATGTACCTTGGAATCCGAGTTCGGTCTTTAAGAGACCATTCAGAGTCTTGCTGTTTTGACAGCCGTAGGAGTTGTTGACACGGTTGTATGAGCACATGATGGAAGCACTGCCGGCCAAGACGGCATCTTGGAAGGGCCAGAGGTACAGCTCGTGCATGGTCTTGTCATCAATGTTGGAAGAGACTGCCGCGACATTCACGCCGTCATCGGTTTCCGGGTTCCGATTTGTCTCTTGTTCATTCAAAATGTAGTGCTGCCATGAAGAGTTATTGGCTGGACCAGGAATTCGTTGAGCTGACTGACCTTGGTGCAAGTTCCAACCCCAACCGACTGTGCTCCATCGACGGTCTCATAGACAAGGGCACCGCTCAGGTACGGATCATTCGAGAAGCCCTCCCAGTTGCGGCCGCCTTCAGCAACACGGCCCAGGGGACCAACGACGGGCCCAAGTATGACATTGACGCCTTTTTTACGGAACTCTGATGCCATATGGATTGCCCTCTGCTTAGCTAGACCTTTATTCCAGCTGCGGAGGTCAGTATTATCCGGTCGACTGGAGATCAACCTTACCTGGCACCAACATGTAGTCCGCTAGGCCAGCTGCTCACGTAGTCGGTTCCTCTCTACTGAGATTAGTTATTTATAGCGACTGCTGCGTGTGTGTACTTACAAGACCATTGCCGGCGTCAGATACGCATAGTCCTGGAAAGTTGAGTCGGGGAATAGCCGCTATATTGCCGGAACAGCCATTATTGGCGTCGGTTCCCGCAGTAAGATTGACTTTCTCCTCTGGGGTGAGCTGGGCAACGAATTTCTTTGCCTTTGCATATGCGGCAGCCCAGGAGCCAGTTCCACTTCCCTCAGCTGTTTCAAAGTTAGTGCTAGGTCTATGCAAGGCAGGGCGACATACGCGATGGATATACAGGAGGCGACTGTCCATAAAAGTAAGTGTCACTGGTGATATTCTGCTCTGTTGGTGCAGACAAGCACACAGACGCAGTGGCCAAGAGACCTGTGAGACCTGCGAGTCCTAGGTTTGAGTGCATTTCGATCTTGCCTTTTTGCCTGATACTGGTGAAAGTCCTGAGGGGTATTGCCCCTCTTTATAGTCGTGCATTCTCTCATTCTACCCCTCACATATCGACCCAGTCAGGTATGTAACATGACCGTGCCACTCTACTTGCCGATTCTCAAGCCCGCATGGCTCGGACTATTACCGGCGGAATTTAAGATCACTAGAACAAGCTTGATGGCGCTCGGCTGCCATCTTGACTTAGGGTGGCTGTAAGCATCGTATCGGACTGAGTCTGCGGTCCTCATCAAAAACATTTTGATGCTATGTTGTGTCAAATGTTCTGCAGTGACATGTTGCCCCTTGGCATCTTATCCATCATCTTCCAAAACTAGCGAGATATCGACTGACTGTCTTTTCTGAGTCCCGATGTTCTTGATGGCAACTCCACCTACCGATCCTTGTCGTCTTCCCCGCAAACCCCATATCCCCACAATTCCCCGTAGTAGCGATAACCGCCATTCGAGCATCAATAGCCCCAGTAGCAACATGCGATCGACAGACCATTTCCTTGCTTCTGTTAGTCCCTGCTGATAAATCATACCTCGCATTGACTGACGGAACAATGCCACCCGAGATTGACTCAGTGTACACTGCACTGGCAAAGTAAACTTCAGAAATCCAGCATATTGATGCAACCTCCCGGTAAAACTTCGGCTAAGGGATTACTTTCAATGGCAAACCTGCAGGATTCCACAGTTGCGGCATTTCCTGACTGTGGTGATATGGATCAAATCGAAGCATTCCTGTATTGATGACCAAGGGTAGTCTGCCGCCAGACTACCCCTCCAGAGGAGAATCGACTCATCTTGATATCGGCAATCACACACTCTGAGGATACCGATAGCTCGCTCGTGGGGCCACAAATGATCACCCTACACTTATCGGCACGGTAACCGAAGAATTTGGCATGATCGTTGTCGTCACAGCAGAAGGTAAAGCTCACGGATACGTCGGCTAGAAAGACAGACGCAAGCTGTCCCGCAAATGGCAGCCTCCACTGGCGTGTCAGCGCACTTGCAAAAAGCCCCTCGCATCCTTTCTAGTCCGAGTATTCTCAAGTCAACGGATCCAGCGGATATTCCCAGTGGAATAGTTGGACCAGCCGTTTCTATCTAACAACCGAGAGTCAGTAATGACCCTAATCGCTGAAACTATCTAGTATATAAGGAATTATAATAAAGTATAGTTCAAAACCGCGAAGCATTAGTTGTGAGGCACACCACCAGCGCCAAACAACTCCATCTTGATGCGATCATGGCCCACACCCGGGCCTTCAGCGAGCCCTTCATCTGGGCCATGAAAGCCTGGGGACTGCAAATATAGAACTCGGTGCGGGAGTCGTCCAAGTGCAAGTCAGCCGAGCGGTCGAGTTTCTGCAAGTCAATCCTTCCCAGGTGGTGATAGTCGACGCCAGGCTGATCGCGCTCAGACGGCGTGCTGGTGAAGAATGTCACCTGCATGTTGGGGAACTTCTTCCCCAGTGCCTGGATGCGATCCTTAAATGCGCGGGCCTGGCTGCTACGAGATCCGTGAATGAAGTTGATTTGCGCTGGTTGGAAGGGAGGTGGTGATGGAGTTGAGGATGGATATCAGTTAAGTAACGCCGACACCGGCTGATAGGAGAACAACGGGTGGGAGGTTTCAGTACTGAAAAGGAAGAAGTTTCCGCGCGGTGAGAGACTTCAACGAGGTCGCCTTCCTTGGTGACATCGTGCAGGACGTTGATACGTATCCGGGGTGTCTCTTGGCGCCGGGAGCCCTGGGGTTAAGGCCGGATTCCTTCTTGACGCTGATGCGGTAGTAATCCGAGCGAGGGGCATCACTGAGAGAATACTGCCGGGCCTGGGGGTACTTCAATCTCGGCACATCAACACGCACGGAGATGTACTGGCCTGGCTTAAAGTTAGGTAGTGGCTTGCCATCGAGTGGCATGAGATAGAACGAGGTGATCTCGTCCGACTCGCGGACCTTTGTGGCCACGCGGAACTGGCGCCAGTTGGTCCAGCCTTGGCTCTCCTTGTACAGTGTGCCTTCGCGGGCAATCATGATGTCCGCCAGCGCCCAGTATGCTGCGGCCCTCGCGTCGAGGATGTCATCAGTGCAGGCATCACCGAGAACTTCCTTCATGGTTTCCAACAGGTATTTTCCAACGATCTTGTATTCATCCGGCTGGATGTAGAGAGACGCGTTTGCGACGGACATTCGACGAGGTATTGAACGAAAATGACTCCTCGAATAGACTAATTGATCTACATTTTTCAATCGACGAGGCTGGAATGAAGCCAGCCGTGTGCAGATTATTGTAAGATCTTCCCTAGCAGACGTTTGACAGTTTGAGGGATTCAAAAGTGACACTATGACGTGTCTGACCTGTCATTTAGCCACTTCCTGCTATCTCCACTGTAATAATACATAGGGTTATGCTGATGCTGAACGGATCAATGATCCACTGGATGTCAATCGATCAATCAGATTAACGGTATTGACATGAAGCAAAGCCACTGCTAGAGATCGTTGTCTTACTATATTTTGACGTCGTAGTAGCCATCATGCAACAGACTCAAGGGACGTCACCCAGCAAGCTCGCTCGATGCTTGTTGGTCTCATCGAATTGAAATAACCACTAGAGACTCGAGTCACCGAGCGACAAGGCTTTTCTTGCGTTTCCTCATAAGACCAAGGCATCGGACGAGTGGAAAACAGTGTGGTCCGCCCCAGGCATCCGCAATGTAATTGACAATGTCCAATCAGATATTTGCGCAAGGTAATCTCATGCCCTATTTCTCAGGCTGCAAGGCATCAATATACATAGCCTTCGCGGAAGGGTTCATCATTACCCAAACGGGAAGTGTGACATAGTCATTACATATCTGAATTCTGGATGAATGTCCGCCATAAGATAGTCTAACGCACTGACTGACAGTTGCTAACTCTCAGTACTGCTGACGTCTCCCTCGCTACTCTCAAACTGCTCTGGGTTTCTCAAGCGATCCCTCAATACCTCGAGAATCCCCTTCTCCTCCAGTCCCAGCGTGAACCCATCCGGAATAACCACCTGATTCGGTGTGATGACGATTGAATTCTCCCGCAGTAGTCCCACCGCACGACTTATCCGTCGTTCCCGACTCTCCTGCGGAACATCCGACGTCTTCTCGATATCCGGTGGACCCCTCTTCCGGCCCACGTCCCGCGGCGTCCACCAGAACATGGGGAACTGACGCTGGATATTGTTGACCACCAACGCGGATCCCAGCATCAGCAACGACCCGATGAGAACCAGCGGGACGAAGAACCATCCCATTGCGTCGATGGTGGGATCCACCGCCGCCAGCAGTGCCGTGGCTCCCCCCGGTGGATGGACGGTGTTGGTCAGGCCCATCACCAACGACGCCAGAGCGGTGCAGACAGCCCCGGCGACCCAGCGGAGATCCTCAAAGTCCGATCGCAGCATGAACAGCTTGGTGACTCCAACTCCGACCACGGCCCCGAGCACATGTCCCAGGATGGAACTGCGCGGTTGAGCCAGCGGGGATTGGATTGTTTGATAGTCCAGGATGGCCGTTGCGCCCTAGAACGTCAGCACGTGTTGGGGATACCTTTAGGATCGGGAAAACATACTAGACTGGCAACTATGAGCGGAGGATGATGCGATTGGATGGTCTCGCTGGCCTTGAAGACACCCATCACCAGAATTAGTCCGGTAAACGCGCCGACAAATGCCCATGCGCATACAAGCAGATTGCCTACTTCCGGTTGAGGGACACGTCGGTACCCTAGGAACCGCGAGATGGGCCATGGTAGGCGATGAACCTGGGATTGGGGAAGATATCGATTGATGTATCGATCGAGGTCGAAATCAATCTCTTGGGCGCTGGGAAGCTTCATTCTATGGACCATTCATTGCGACGGAAACTCAGCAGGATTGGGTATTAATGACGGTGGAAGAGGTGACGAAAATGATATACGGAAGAGCGCAGACATGAGGTAGAAAATTAAAAATCGTGTGGAGTGCTACACCGATTCAAGGTTTTTCCTCAAGATTCTTGACAAATTCTCCTATCTACTTCACGGTGGAGCGCAATTATGTCATACCTTGAGCATGGTTTTCAAAAAAGGAAAATTGGCTCGCGGAAGAGGATAGCCGAGTCTTCCCGGTTCAGAGGGCACCGCTGAAGAAAAATGATAAAAGAAAGCCAAGAAAGCCAAGCTTTGTGCCTGACTCATATATCCCGGAATTCCCGGCTTGTATTTTGCTGAGGAAGAGCTGCAGTATCGCATCACTATCTTACCATGAGGGAACGATATAGAGGCCCGCCCCATCTATGGCAGTGTCTTCTTTAAGAGAACCAGGAGTCTCGGAACCAAGTTAGCCACTGCCGCCTCAAAATTGGTCCTAACTTACCAGTAACTTGGACTTTACTGCCTGTGACTTATTGAAAATAGACTCGAGCAACTTCGAAGGTGCGAGGGTGTGGAAACCTCCATGATCGATATCCGCGACGATTTGGTCGTCATCTGCGATGGAGACCTGTTGCAGCGCGAGCTCCCATCTCCGTAGTAACTCATCGGCGGTATCGATGGAGATAAGTTCCTTGTCAAAAGCCGCTTCCAAGCCGACGCCATCCCGAGTGATGGCACAGGTCAGCCTCAACGATCGAGAGATTGCGGATTGTCCCCAAAGAAGAGGGAGACGGAGTTTTGCCTTGGTAGGTTCAAGGAAGGGCAAAATATTCACTCGGATAGCGCTCTTGCAGATGTCATGCAGAGAAGTATTGATTCGAGCGACGTGTTCGATTTGGAATTGGTCAAAGGTGGTGATGGAGCCCGAGTCCTCTTGGGTCTGGCGGATCAGCTCCAGAACGCTGTCTTGGGGATTGACTCGAATTCTCAACGGATAGGCAGCAAGGGTTGGAGCAAGCAAGTCTTCGATTCCGGGTAGATCCAGCTGACGACCGTTACTGAATAGCTCAAGGATCACATCCTTGCAATCCAGCATGTTGCTGATCGTGAGAGCCAAAGAGATATTGAGACGGGTGGAGATTGGCTTGGTGCTACTTGAGTAGTTGACCAGGCTGACATGGCGTTGGAGGGACGTGTCGGCGAAAACCAAATGGCCTTTGGGAACAGCGCCCAATGGCTTCGTGTCTACATCGGCCAGATATGACTTCCAGAACGCCGTCGCGGCGTGTTGATCCATCTGAAGGATTTGCTCGATGAAACGGTTGTACTTCAACTCCGGAGCGGGGCAGTAGCCCCGGTGGTAGACATGATCTAAGATTTCAAACAGCTGATATAACGCGTATGCATCGTATGCAGCATGTTGAACTGTTAAAACGAAAAACGTTGCTCCCAGGTTGGAATCGTCGATCACCCCGAACCGATACAATGGTTCGCCAACGCCCATGATGCGCTTGTGGTCTTGCTGCAGATAGTCTTCAAGCGAGTCGCCCCGGCTGCACAGGGCATGCTTCTTCATCACCACCTGAATGTATCCTGGGCCGCATGGACGGCGGATCATCCGAGTTCGAAGAATCTCATAGGTGCCACTTATTACATCCCATGTCTGGAGAAACTCCTCGGGATCGACCCATCTTGGCAGCAGATGTACGCTTTGCCTCTGGAACAATTTCGAGCTGATGCCGCCATCAATAAAGAAAGTCTGCTGGGGTGTGGCAGGATAGGCATCTTCGATGTCTGCTATGGTTACGCCGCACTGAGAGGCTGCCTCTTGCAGAATTTCCTCCTTCTCGTTTTCGGGTAGGAGCGAAAACGGGGCGACATCATACTCGTTGCCCTTGCAGATGAATGAAGTGACCTCGGCCATGGATGCCAAAGTTGGGTTTATGACAATTTTGTCTGTCGTCAGTGATAGGCCTTCCTTTCGAGCAGCGACGACGAGGCGCATTGCCGAGAGAGAGTCTCCTCCAAGGCCGAAGAAATTGTCCTGGCACCCAATTTCTGTCACTCCGAGCAATGACGTCCACAGCTGCCCAAGTTGTTTCTCAATGGGAGTGAATGGAGGCTGATATTCCTGCACTGGTGTTTGGAATCGCCCCAAATCTGCTCTGGAGAACTTAGAAACCAGCTGCTGCAGTCTTTTCCTGTCGGTCTTTCCGTTCGGAGTGAGGGGGGTACTTCGTAGAGGCACGTAGATCGATGGGACGGCATAAGCAGGCACGAGACGCGCCAGTTTGGACCGGCCGTTCGATATAAGCGAGGCAAATGCTTTCTGTTCAGTTGGCGATGTATGAATAGCCGGCTTGTCAGTGTGCTCCAAATTGAGAAACCCTACCGACTTGTCTGCACCCCCAACTATGAATGCCGTGAGAGAGGGAGCCCCGTTGTCGGCATCAGCAGGGGAGGCTAGCATAGCTATAACTTGAATCACCATAATTTCGGAAAGGCAGCTGCGCAGATGCAGCTCTACCTCCTCGAGTTCCACCCGTTGGCCTCGGATCTTGACTTGATTGTCCTTTCGTCCAACAAAGTAGAATTCGCCGTCTTGAGTGTACCTGCCCAGATCACCGGTCCGATACATGGGAAAAAATTTGGAGATACTGTCCTGGAATCCTCGAGCCCATCGAGGAGAATCCCGTAAATATACTGCTTCCGTCTTTTGCTTTTCAGCATGGTAGCCGCAGCCGACGATGGGACCTTCGATCACAATTTCTCCAGCTTGACCGACCGGGGACAGATCATCGGGGTTGTCCGGATTGACGATCCAGAATCTACATCCCACTGGCCTACCCAGAACTCCTGGTCGGTAGACTTCACGGCTGCAGTCCACAATCGACGCAATCACAGAGCATTCGCAGGGGCCGTAGGCGACGATAACGCGGAAGCTGTCACTGAGGCTGTGCACTATACCGGGATCAGGCTGTTCTCCCCCAGTTATGATTGTTCTGAGGGTCTGAACCCTCGTCAAAGGTAACATATCGAGCATTCGGGGAGTAAAGAAGGCGAGCGTCACTTCCATCTGATTCATAGTCTCGACCAGGCTGTTCATCCGTTGTTCCTCCGACGGCACGCATATACAGCCTCCCCAGACCAAGGTCCAAATGATTTCTAGAATGGAGGCATCGAATGTGTAAGATGTAAAATGCAGTGTCCGAGACTGCTCGTCGAATCCCATGGCTCTGCCGCTGGCGACTGCACTGCTGCTTAAATTCCTATGCTGGATCAACGCTCCTTTCGGAATACCAGTAGTACCAGACGTAAAAAGGGTATACGCAATATCCCCAGGATGTGATACCGGCAGCGCACAATCGACAGGTGCTTCGGTTCCTAGCCTGCTCATGTGCTCGTCATCAACCACGAATACCTGTCCAAACATATGGCTGTATGATTGGGCGCACTCTTTTGAAGCAAGTGCAAATCTTGCGTTTAGTTGACTGACGATGGCCTGAACCCGACCTTCTGGCATGGATGCATCGAGGGGCACGACTGCAGCACCCGCCTTGAGGACGGCGATCATTGCGACAATGGGCCATTTGGATTTTGAGAAGATCAAGGGGACTAAATCTCCTAAGCCTACCCCGGTGATCGCTAATTTTTGCGCAAGCAGTGCCGAAAGCTCCTCGAGTTCGGCGTAGGTCAGGTTACCGTCCCATGCACATATGGCTGGGGCGTTCGGTCGACTCAGAGAGTGGGCCTTGATCAATTCATGCGTACAGACGTCAACACATTCTGGAGTTTCTTGATTGGCATAGACAGTTTGCTGCTTATGATTAGACATTTGAAAGGCGGTGATATTATTTTTCTTTGGCAGATGAATGTTGGTAAATAAAATATTCGTTGCTTTCCAAATATTTCGAAGATCTTTTAGGGATGTTTCACTATAAGTAATCAAGGTCCGATGGTGCATGCAGTGTGGTATAAAAGGAAACTCACTGCTTACTGTGATATTTTCCTACTGTAGGTGACTATCATGCACGCCATGCATTAGCTTTGCGCTCTTCTCCAGTTATGGAACACACTAGGTATTATAAGTCTAGCCAGCCATCTACAAACGTAATGAGATGACCATTCACAGTGTCCACTGTTTTTATCAGATATCATCTTGCAGTGATGTACGTACATAGGTAAAGATCAGGCTGTCAGTTTGAACAAGTAGACTTGCGTAAATTCTATACAGCGCATGGACCATGATATTAGTCAACCTTAGTGATATGGTATGGTTAACTAGTCAACTAATCCGGCTATTAGTAGGGACGAGAGAATTACAGTAGTGCCCTTGTAACCATTCACAGTATGGATAGCCTTGTAAGAATATGAAAATCATTTATTGTCTGTATACGATTGTCAAGCGTACGGTCGTACCCAACAAAAAGAAGAAGAAAACTGAAAGGAACAGGTTTATGCCTTTAATTATATCAAGGGCGCCTACTACTTTGAATAAGCTATTATATATAATCCTTCATGCACTATTAGAGTTGCATAACCAAGTCAAGAATGGCTTAAAGTCTTCTACTGACCTCCTGCAAACACCCTCGATCAGAAACAGTGCATAACAGCACGCCGCTAGTAATACTTTGTATTCGGAGGAAGACCCTGTCTTTGATCCTCTTGCTGTTTGTTCCGTCAGACCATGCTGTAAGCCAGGGTAGGGAATACGGACCAAAAGCTCCCCAAAGCTCTCAAGCAACTTGATTTCGTACTGGCAATATTCCTCCGCCTGCAAGTCCATTGATTCTTTATCTGGGAAAGTTACAGCAACATCGAAGTCTATCCAAACGACTCTTTCCCGGGCAATGAGGATATTTTTTGGATAGACATCACGGTGCTGAATCAGTGCGTCGTGAATTTCCCGGAGTCCATGGATGGCGATTTGAAAGCGGCAATCCAAGTAGTTCACACAGTTAAGCTCCTCTGTCTCTTGCAGGTACTCGAGCAGGATACCTCTCGGATTGTGCAGGTCATTCGCAAAATGAGTTAGATGTGGATGGAATTTGATTGGGTCAAGGCGATCAATATAACCATAATAGTAAGGAACAAACCCGCGCTCACATACACCAAATGAATGGAGGTTTCTGTAAGCATTTAACTCGCAGCGGAAACGATTCAAGTCACGGCCCTTTTTTGTAAAACCCGGGTCACCGTTGTCATGAAACTGTGAAGTTAAGCATTACTCCATTAGAAACTTGCAGGCACTTACAAGTTTCATCGCATAGAGATTATGTTGGAGCTCCACCACAAATATCGAGGAAGACTCGGACCTTTTGAGTTCTTTGACTATGGACAAGGGCACATTTTCAAGGTCAACAGCGTCAGCAAAGATTCTGGACATAGTAGCGATATTGTGGACGTGATGATATTGTTGGACTGCCAGCAGTTATAGAAATGAGTCAAATGACTTCCATGTATTTAAACAGAATGCCAAGAAACAAATAAGCTGACATCCAATAAGCTGGCGGATGCAAGGTATGCTGCCCACTGCCAGCATTTCCCCCTCCTTTTCCTCTATTTCCTCAGCTTCCACAGATTCTCAGTCGTTTTGTGGTAAGGCGTTCTGCGTTTCTCACTTCTCAGCCAGGTTATGGACTTTGTAGTATTCATCCTAGTTGGGCCCCTAGCTGGCGAAGGATAAGATAAACTAAAAAGTTGATCAGCCAACCTTCAGTCTACTAGATAATAGATAAATACACATCCTGCTTGCCAAAATCATTGGTGTCAGAGGCGGTGGATGATGGGTAGTTTCACCGCCATTCCCAGTTGCCGACACCCTGAATCTCGTGGCCAGCCAAAATTCTAGAAATATATAATATAAATCCTCGCCTTATTCCCACCATTTGGTTTACTGGACGATGCAAGTAGAAAATCTGTTATTTTAAGATCACCTGCAATCATGTCGGAAAACGAGAGTTTTGCCGGGTATCGGTGGTCTTATTTCTCTTATCTGAGCGAAGGTCCACTACGCTCACAGGCTGAAAGATTCCTGGAGACAATTAACTAGGATTCACTCATCCAGTGTGCTTCAGCCAAGAGGAATGGATTGAAATGCAGATTATTACCAGACATTGGCCTCAGATATAATCACATGGTTCGTGTTGTCAAATTTGTTGACCAGGTACAATGGGTTGCCAGGCTCCAGATGCCACAACTACAGCAAAATAGTAAGGATGCAGCAAAGGCAGGGGAGATAATAGAGAGTAAATACTAGACAATTTACCTTATTCAAAAAGAGAGCAAAATCCTTGTTCCACATATCCATATGTTTGAGGCCGATCCGAACTCGCACGTTGGGGCGCAGTTCATGCTTATAGACTATATCAGAGGAAATGCCAGAATAGATTTGAGCATAAATATTCCTCCAGAACACAAATCAGATATCTATTCCAGGATAGCAGAGATCCAGGTACGCAACTTCACTAATAAATAATCATTGTGCTAATCTGTTGTTTATCTAGATTGATATATTCAGGATTCGGTTGCCAAAAATTGGGAAGATTGTCAGAATAAATAACAACAGCTCATATTAACTAGGACCACTACCGGTCCTTGGTGGACCTTTCGACACTGCTGCCAAGTTTTTCAGAGCCTGGGTGACGAAAGTTAAATTTGGTATGTCCAAAGACCAACTGCAAAAAGCCGCAGGTCCATTTACCAATGAGATATTATCTTCTATGTCGACTTTCAGGAAACTGCTGAATAATAACGCGGAATGGTTATCTGCAAACAATACAGGACCATTTCCACTATATCATGGTGACTTTAGTCATAATAATATCCTCTTTGATGACAAATATCACTTGCTCAGTGTTATTGACTGGGAGTCAGCATTTGTGGGACCCTGCAAAATATCAGGTGAATTCCCCCTTTCCGTGTCAGTAATCCCACCTACTATGGATGTTCCATGGAAGTATGATGAAACTGGCTGTCCAAAAGAGGCAGAAGATAGGCAAAAGTTCACTGACAGGGAAGCCTACATTGCCATTATGGGACAAAGAGAAGAGGAACAGGGTTTAACTAACAGCTACACTCTATCGTCTGCACTTCAGGATTCTAAGCGGCAATATCTGGCTTCCGCGATGAGGTTGTATCAAAGTGGAAAGCCGGGGTGGTATTCAAAGGTAATGGAAGGATTCTGCATACCGCACTTGCATACGGTTCCGCGCTTGACCTCCAGCCCGCAGCCCAGTCTGCTGCATGTAGTATAAGCACCGGAGAGGTCGACAGGGTCAAGGACTGGACTGAGCGCCATGTTGGTAAATACTCAGACATTATTGGGTCCGTTTTAGGACATGCGTCAAGGCTCATTCTTGGCCTGTCCTAGCCATCAGATTCGCGACAGATTTCCGGATGCATTAGGTAGTTACTGAATGCTGCTCCTTATGAGAGCAAAACCAAATCCCATGCAGCACCGAGCTTCAACCAACGGTTCATCCAAGCCCGTAGAACCCATAACAGCTACATCTCTGTCTTATATATTTTATCTACTTATCTAGTATACGCGCTGAGTATATAAAAGTGCAGGCATGCAGTTCAACAAGGTCTGGCCCTAGAACAAACTGGGTATAGCCTGCCTAAAATATACAAGGCACCAATACGCCAGCGCGGAAAGACCACACTTTTTGAATCTAAAGACCACGCACAACTAGGTCACCGACACTTACTGATGAGGTACGGGCGTTGATATATCCTCCAAGGCAGTCAGTTCAATATCTAACTAAGCATCTATGATTGTATGAGGGACAGCTTCCATGCCTAGCTGAGAGTAACATTAGTTTGTTGCCCAACTGTCATCTCTGTCAGCCATTCGCCAGCCCTTTTCCCAATTTCCCCGCATCATCCATCCACATCATACGATCCGTATCCTGTCCAAATGAACCTACGTTCAGTGATAGGACAAGGGCAATTCTATTCCCTTCCCCTCAACCATCTCCTCCGACTCATCCACGATGAATATCCATCAGAGCTCGAAAGACTCAAAACAGCCTACTCGATCCCCGTTCAGACAAAACCCCACACCGCCGAGCCATCCCCATCGCAAATCCTCTACGATGGCGAGTACGACGAAGTCAACCGCACCCTGGTAAGCTTGTTGATGCTCCGTAAGATCCACAACAACGACTACATCGGGTTCGTGGGCAGCCAGCCGACCGGCCCCCAACGCCTCCGCGAGTCGTCGTTCGCCTGGATCCGGTCCCTATTCCAGCATGGTCTGACAACTCCGGACGATCTCTACACTCTCGTCACCTCCATCATCATCAATGATTTGGGCAAGTCGCCGACTCTGGCCGCCGACCTGCAGCGGGAAACAGCAACGGCAGCAGGATCCCACGCCAAACCGAACCACGACCTAATCCTCTACCTGGTCGTCCGACAAGCGCCCTATCTCATTCCCTGTCTGGACCGCGTTCCCCCCTCCCACCGGGATCATCTCATCCGCGGCATCGAGCTAGGCGCTGTATTCAATATCGGACAGATGGCCCAGGCAGAGTGTCCGCCCGCTAGTCTGGTGGGGCTTGAACGGTTGCGTCGAGGCAATGCCGACGACAAAGGTAACAATATCCAGGCCTTCAAAATGCGCTACATGGAGCAAATTCTCGATATCGCGGGCGCACTGGGCCACCAGGACCACTCGCATGCCGCGCGGTTTACGGAGCCGATCTACCAATCTTATCGGATTATCTACGAGATCGCCGTGGATGTGATAAACGGAACGATGGATCGGAAGGAGGCGTATGATGCCAATTTGGTTCGAAAGATGGAGCTCCTGGTGAGCCAAAATGGATGGGAAGACAGGGGCAGAGGCCTTGACGTCCATAACCCGGAACACAGGGCGCTGATGCGGCTGCTGTGTATTTGTAATGCAACGACGGTTGGAGGGGGTGAAATTGCCGATTTGGTCTGGGATACGTTCTTTGAGGGGATCAGCGATGAGACGAGAAGGGTGCTGGTCGAGGGGTTGAACGTTGATGGGAGTGTAGGGAGGCCAGCTGTTCAGGTGACTTATTCGCCGGCTGTATGTAGCGCTGCGATCAAGGCCTCCAAGGGTGCAGGGAGTGATGGTCAGAAGAAAGCCCTGGCAGCTGTGTTTCGCTATCTGGCGAGGGTTCATACACTGACAGAGGCGGACTTGGAAGGGCTTCCAGGGGGAGTTACGGTCGTTGAACGCGATATTCGAGAAAAGGTCATGGGGGTGGTTACCTCTGAGCCTTTTCAAGGAAACCCCGATGTGTTGGATGAGGTGGACGTGCCGGAGAATGAAATTGCTGTCCAGACGGATGTTTAAATGTTGATCATACAGTTGCAGTACCTGACTATTTCTAGTAGGCTTTTGACTCCCCAGACGGGGAGGCCACTCCATCCTCACAATCCCTTACTGCATCACTCCCTCCCTCGATGGCTCGACCAACAATCCTCTGCACGTCCCAAATATCCATCCGAGTCTCCCTAACCAGCCCTCGTTTCGCACTAAAATCATCCTGCCATGTCGAATCATCCCCGCGCTTATGCGGCAACAGATCCCAACGGCTCATACTATCCTTTTCCTCCTCGGTCAGGTCCAACCACGCAAATAGATCCATTCTCTTCGTCGACCGTCCCTGCAGTGCAACATCCGAAGAACCCCTGAACCCCCATCCCATATCAGTCTTGCTAAATTCCAGACAATCCGGCCACTCGAATACCGTCGCCTTCAGTCTCGATCCGATCCAACACGTGTAACCCTTCGTCCTACCATACCTCGCCGACTTCACCTCGCAGGGTCGCACCGTATCATCGCAGCCGAAGCCACGACAGACAAGCATGGAGGGCACGGCGATGAGCACGGCCACGTACATTTGCGTAGCCAGGACCGCCATACCCAGGGTTATGATCTGGACGCAGAATGCGCCCCAGTCGATCCAGCGGATCAGATCATAGAGTTTGGGAGAACTGGGGACAGGGTTGCGGATGAAGACGGGGATGATTAGGTTTCCTGGGACATACATCGTGAGGATGTTGGAGTCGGGGGTTATGATTAGGATCTTGTCCGTGTTTGTTCGGGTTGATGTGGATGGGGAGGGCGATTGTTGGACAACGGTTCGATCGATGGCGGACCGGTTGGCGTTTAGGAGGTAAGCCCGCGCGAGTATCGAGATAATAAGGGCACACGCCGCCGCAAGACCGTAAAAGTCTCGAGACAACACGGTCAACACCACCAGAAAACCGGTAAGGCAGAAGGAAACCGTTGCTGCGATGGCATGATAATAGATCCACTGTCGCGGCGTTTCCGTCTGCGACTCCCAGCAGATCACGGTCCGGGTAGTTTCGAGCTGCTGACATTGGATCCACCGGGTGAACCAGCCGGCCATGTCGGTTGTGTGGATGCCCCTGGTGACATTGTAGAGGAAGAAGGAGGGTTGTTTGCTGAGGAATTGATTTGCGGCGATGACGTTGATTGCGAGGAGAGGCATGTATTCGAGCCAGCGGCTGGGCACGAGGCGACCGACCCAGGCGTCTATTCCTTCGCTGCCGAGGAGGGTGATTATACCGAGGGCATCCACTTGGAAGGGTTGCCAGTTGTAGAGACTTTCCCAGGGGTAGCCCATGGTGTGTGTTTCACGGTCCCCAGTAGGGACTGGCTTGCAGGGTGAGGAAATATGGAGAGAATAGGAGACTCTGTCAGCTTATATTTGTGCTTATTATTACTAGAGCTACTCCGTCACGCCGTGTCCCGTTCCTTAGCTCTAAGGAAGCGGGACGAACCAGTGCACTGACACTTGGGCTTGATGTCGATCTCGATTCTGGTCCAATCATTCCTTCGCTTGGATCTTCCTCAGCCAGCCTCTTTTTGCGGGGCTTCTCAAGGTAACCTTACTGTAGTTGGCAAGAACAAGGTAGATCTTGCTGACCACTCTTTATTACTAATAATGATACGGCATTCCCCCTCTAAATAGAGAGGTACCCATGTATTGATTCAGGTTTGAGACTACCGGTTAGGCTACTCGAAAAAACTTATACTCCCACTGCAATCCCACGGACTCCGATCCCTTCACGTGGGCAATATACCCCAGACCAACTCGCCAGGATATCCCATCCCGGGTAACTAGACCAAGTAGAATAGAGACTGTATATGGCGGTGTGGTGATCGACTCCGCCGCAACAAGGAGGACAAGCGCTTCAACTTGCTCCTTCTCGTCGGTACTATCATACCTGAACTCTCCAGCGTGCTCGCCAATTCTCAACTTGTGTGCTTGCCCAGTACGGATTGTGTCAAGATTCATGTTCCGCGTGTATGCGGCGAAGAAGCCGAGGTGGCCTTCCTGGAGGTTATTATCCGAGGGGAATGACAAGGACTGACGAAGAAGGGTCTGCGTGTCCAGCCCGATTCGGTCCTCGAGGAACGCCTTCGCCGGGTGGAATGCAGAGGAGCCAGGAGGTGCATGGCCTGCGGCTTTCCAAGCAGTGCATGACCAATGAGGCTTGCCGGAGCCGTCAGGATGATACCAGCAGGGGATGCCAGGATGGACCGGTTTGCCTTTGATTATGGCTTGAGATATATTCCGCGTGAGCCAGAGACTCTCGGCAAAGACGAATTCCACCGATCCAACCCAGGATGCCCTGGCCAGTTAGCATATTCAAAAGTCAACAAGAGTAGGGAAGCTTCATACCATGACCACGAGGCGAAATATTTCGGCAACCAGGCTGGACTATCCGGCAGGGCTGCCCGTTTCCTTGCCCTATGAGATGGAAACCAAAGCATCCCCTGCCAAAGGAACCGCACTGGAATGCCCTGTGTTCGTCCGATCGACAATCTCTCTTCCTCTTGCACGCTGAACCGGTTAAAGATGCCCTGGAACGCGTTGAAGATATCTTCCTGGAAAGTGAGCTGCTTCCGAGTGTAATCCTGCACCGCAGTCTGGTAGTCCCAGATAGTAAGCCGACTGGCATTCAGCTCGCCCATATACCGGTATGGAGTCGGGTCAAGGTCCTTGCGGAGTTTGCGATTCCACCATGGCGGTCCCGTACGGAGCTGCAGGTCGGAGTATTTTTTCCCCTTTGGCTGCTGCAATGCGTAGGCCTCGCGACGCTGCATCTCGCTACAATTGAAAAAGACCTCGTGCGGTGTAAAGTAGAGACAACGCTGCGAGAGACATTGTTCCTGGTACGTCCAGCAACGGGTATTCCAGGCCGAGCGGCGGACCCCCTCGCACAACCCCGGCGGGCAGATGGCCAAATTGAACGTCAGCTCGTCTCCTTCCCCGTAGGAGTCGTCCACCACCGTCGTCCGCTCGATTGGCAGCCCTCCCTCCCGCGGACTCACCCCCAGGAGACCCGTTTCGGAATTGGCTCCCGAACCGGCAATGAGCGTCACCGCCGCGTTGTCGTATATATCGTCCATGCGCCCGATCAGGCGGGCCTTTTCATTTGCATCGTCCTGCACAATGCACAGGGTGTCGACCCAGGTGTGTCTAATCCCCAGTTGTCGGGTGAATTCCATAGCGTCCAGGACGGTACGGGGGATCTTTCCTCCACCAAGCGAGGCCAGATGGGATGGCGACAGGGACCCGGGGGCACTGCAGAGTCTGTCGATGTTTTCCCTCGTCGTGCGGAACGGTTCCACTCCACCCCAGATGTACGAGAGGGCCACGTACTCGCAAGGTTCGGTCCTGCGTACGAGTTTCTCGTCGATCACGTCGATGAGTAGGAAGCCGTCCTTGTGCTGAAATAGGCTGTTGTTGGTGTTCCGAGTCCGTTTGGCGTGCTCGTGGTTCTTATTACACTCCTGTAACCAACTCTTCACAAGTGAAGCATCGACTCGCTCGCCGGCGCTACAACGTAGGAGCATGCGCTCTTCACTCTCATTGGGCAAGGACTCAAGCTCTGCAATGATAAATCGATTGGTTTCTCGATCGATCTCGCGGACAGTGGGTCTTCCTCGCCGGAAGCCCTCGGGTTGTTGGTCAAGGGCTAGCTGGAGACGAGGCTCTGGATACTCCATACGCCTGTACTTTTTCACGGACAGGGGGCTCCAGCTCTGGATGAACAATCGGGGGACCTTTTTGCCATCCTTGGGAGAACAGAGCTCTACAAAATCCCAGCCTGTGCGGGAAACTGCGGTGACGATGAGTCTGCAGAACGGGCAGGTTGGATCGCCGTAGTCTGATAGACAACCCATGTCTCGCTCGGGACTTTCTTCCGCTAGCATCGTCTCGAGATCGAGCTTGGCGCAAGCCGTACATAGCCGATCGGGTAATGGGGCCATTACTGGTGCCTCTCCGATTACAGACCAAGTGAACTGATTAGAAGGATGAACGGATAAACTGCAGGTGTTCTGGGTATTCTACCTTTGTACGCGGGGCATGGGGTACATTCAAGATTTACGCACCAACAAGTACAGCCGTCAGGCATATCAAGAAATGATCTGCATGACAGCTTTTACGGCAAACTATTTGTACAAGCAGCTGAAAGAGATCACATTTTCGGATGCTTTTCATCATGCAAATCGCAGAATCAGAAATCCACGGCGGATAATCTTGATATCGATTGGACAGCAGCAGCCCGCTGGACTGGAGAAATCTTACCTAGAGCGCACCATCGATGTGCCACAGTGCTGCATACAGCGCCTGTTGTCCACTCGACCGGCATTCATTCACTTATTATCTTGCAGCCTTGCTTACCAACTGCGCGGGGAAACAGTATGTCGTGGCCCAATCATAGCAGACGATCTGCGTTGACTTTAGGTGGCCAGCTGAATGTGTTAAAGTGGAGCTGAAGTGGGATCAGTTCTCATAACCCCTGGCTATATCTAAACTAAACACCCTAAATAATATGCCTTACTTCCCATGCTCCCTCTGGTCACTGCTTTAGAGTATGTTTATCGTGCAGTAACGTCAGGAGAAGGATAAATACCGCGCAGTACTCTGGATAAGGATTCTCCAATAACTCATTAATCTAGTCTAACAAAGACCATGCCAACCTTGGGACGTCTGCGTTCCTTATTGCGACGAAGGTCATCGCACGCGGATCCCACTAATCCAGAATCATCCCGTCCCAGCCCAGAAGAGCAGAAAAGCAATCCAAGCCAGGATAACACCCCTCTGGGAGAACCCCCAACGACTCCAACGTCCCCTTCCCAGTTCCTCAAACGCCTCGGGGATAACCCTTCTACTCCCACCCGCCAACTGCTCCAACCCTACCTGGCCTATGAACTCTGGCTCCGTAAAGGCTTCGCGCGTGGCCATCCTGGTGTATCGGACGGTCTAGCCAGCCTAATCCCCATCTACAATGGTTGCCAGAACTTACTCACCATTCGAAACCTCGACCGTGAAAGGGAGGATCAGGCCAAGTACCTTATGTTGGTGCCGGAGGAGAAGCGTGAGGAGAACGGCGTCCTTGCCATTGTGCCTTCAATCGATGAATACAGTAAGAACTTTGATGCTTTTACACACGGTTAGTCACTCCAGCATCCTTTCTTCAGTTGTTCTTAAGAAGCCGCTATTCTCTACAAAGTGTATAACTAAAGGGAGAGAACAGGCATCCTAGCCGGTCTTGACTGGTCCAATGTTGTTGCCGCCGGTTCATCTGCGCTCTTACCCCTGCTCTCTCGCCGAAAGGATGTCGATTACGAGGAAGATCCAGGGGTGCAGGATCCGAGAGAAACCTATTTTCAGTGAGTGCTGCTTAACAACTCTCTTGCCTCCCTCCGTGGACTCCCGATGATAACACGACCTGCAACAGGACGATTGCCAGCTCAAGCGACATTGATCTCTTCCTGTACGGCCTGGAGGACGAAGAAGCCGCCATCAAACGCATTTTCGAGTTGGAGGCCCAGATTCGGAGAAACCAGAGGTTGTCATCGGATGCGGCGCTGACCTTGCGGACTGAGCATGCCATTACATTTATCTCGCCGCGGTACCCGTACCGACACGTCCAGGTGAGAGATTAAATATCTCCGAGTCAATGGGTGGATCGCAACTGATACGTTATATTTGTGAGAGAAGATTATCCTCCGCCTATACAAATCCATTAGCGAAATCTTAACCGGCTTCGATGTTGACTGCGCCTGTGTCGCCTTTGACGGAAAACAGGTCTATTCAAATCCCCGTGGAGTAGCGGCCATTGCTACCCGGACGAATACTATCGATCTTACTCGGCGAAGCCCTTGTATGTCCTACTCCCGTTGTCCTCCTTCGTAGCCATGACTAAAATGGGTTGAACAAAAGCATACGAAAACCGACTCTTCAAATACCGCTGGCACAACTTCGACGTCTACTGGGACGGTCTCGACCGCAGCCGAATCCACATCAACTGGGATCCCTACGATGACGAGTTTTCTCCCCGGCAATTAATTGGGCTATCCCGCCTAGTCTTCTTCGAGGGGATCGTCGCCGAACCAGAACAGAAATATCATCAGAGGCGTCGGCTGAGAAAAATTCAAGAGAGCGGAGATCCCCTGCTGACGACGCCGAGTGGCTATGCCGTATTGGAGATTCCATATGGGGAGAGGTTTACAGCGGCAAGGTTTGTTTCTTTCCTCTCCTCTTTTACTTTGAGTGGGTGTAGACTGGGGTGTTTGTACAACTAGGGTTCGCAAATACGTCGATCAACACGCAAAGGAGAGTCCGCACTTTTTTGGCACAATCGACGAGGTCGTTATTCAGGGCATGAAACGGACGAAGAAGAATAAGGGGCAACTTTCTGGAAAGGTTACCTTCATAAAGGATGATCCGGGCCGTCAGATGATTGGGAGCTTTCATCCGATCACGGATGACGATTGGTGAGTTATGCGGCCTATCTACCACTCTGAGTTGCATCCTCATCCACTGATATAGGACCAAAATTGCGTATGAGGGACTCCCGGAGGATTCTTAACTGGAGGAACCGCCCAAAAATACCAGTCACCTCCATTCTTCGGATCGGTTACTGTGAGAGCGATGAAGCCATGATATTGGGGAGCTATCTAAGAGGGAAGCTATCCACATGACGTATGGGAGTAGAATATGGCAGCAAAGATGAATGATGAGTATTCACAGGAGTTATAATTACATGGTCTCTGACCCGACTGTTGGAATAGTATTAGAAAACTCAGGGCGTTTGAGCATCAGTCATCTATTTGGCCAGCCACTTGAAACGGGCATCTCCATCAACAAATCCACAGATGTGGTGAAAATTAATAATATTTACTTTGGCATTTCTAGAGTAAAGTAGAATCCATTGCAAAGTATACATTCGAAATGCCAATGCCATTGAGAGCTACAGAAACGACAAGCCTCATTTTTCCAATATATTATGTATTGGATACCGAGCTGGCTTTTTATTCGGCTCATCGCGCTCAGGCATTACAGCGAGATTCCGTATCGTCAATGCAGATAGTGATATTGTCCAATTGGGATACATACTGCCGGAGGGGCCTAGTGGTGGCCAAAATTGATGCAGATAATACAACGATTCAGTGTACAATATCCACATCCGGGGAGGACACAAACGGCATTCTGTCTCAGGTCTGGTAACTTGGGTGTCATTGGATAATGTGTGGGTTGAATCTCGGGGTCCGGTGAACAGACACAAAGACCATCAAGTGCTTACGATAGTGGGTCATATTAATCTAACAGGGTATGCAGCCAACCCTATGTGAGGACTACGTTGGTTCAGTTTCCGTGTATTATGGCAGCAATTTAACCCCAATGGCCATATCTCACTTCCACTCTTCCCTGTTTCTTTTTCATCATACCACAATCATAGAGCACATTGCCTCCATGGCTTCCAATCTCGATCTCGTAAACGAAGCCGATTCCTTCCACTACCACAATGATGACAAAAACGTGTACCGTTTCACTGTGGCCGGTGTGCCTGCTATCCTTGGCTACATTACGCCCCCGGTCCAGGACGCGTTGCGAGGCCTTCCACACTGGCAAGTGAATGACTCCGCAGGGACCGTGATCCTCACTGGCGGCAGCAATAGAGACGAGCGCAGCGCGATCATGAAACAGACTTTGCTGGCCATGCGCGATAAAGAGCAATTCCAGCTCCTCAAGAAATGGCGGGATGAAGACTTTCCGGTTTATGGCGAGAGACAGGAAGTCCTTCTCACCTTTGAGCGCTGTGCCAGTCCACTCTTCGGGATTGTGACTTATGGAGTGCATGCCATAGCTTACAGGCCTCCTCCGGAGGAAGGAGAGCAGATCAAGATATGGGTTCCGCGTCGGGCCCGGAACAAGCAATCGTACGGAGGAATGCTGGATAGCACGGTCGCAGGGGGCGTTGCCTCGGACGAGACGCCCTTTGAGGCGCTGGTCCGCGAGTGCGAAGAGGAGGCTGCCCTACCGCGAGAATTCGTCCTGAAACACGCCACCGCGACCGGCATGGTGACCAACTTCTACATACGTGGCGAGCGTGCGGGAGGGGAAACCGGACTCCTGCAGCCCGAGTGCCATTACGTCTACGACCTGCCACTGCCGTCGGATATCGTATGCGAGAAGAACGACGATGAGGTGGAAGAGTTCCACCTGTGGACTGTGGATGAGATCAAACAAGCGTTGGCCAACAGGGAGTTTAAACCGAATTGCGCACTCGTTATGCTCTACTTCTTCATCCGGCATGGGATTTTGACGGCCGAGAATGAGCAGGATTATATCCAAATCGTGGCACGGTTGCACCGACGATTCGAATTTCCTACTAGATAGAATAGCCCGCTGCTGGGTAACCGCATTCGATGCCGTACATCGATTAGTTTAGTCAACTATTCGGTGCTACAATACTTTTGCCCCAAGTCATATCATTCATCTGGGCTGTATCCCTGAACTAGGTACATGAAATAGTGAAAATATCCCGATCAGAGTTTGCGCTTCGTTAGTACTACACGAGTCGACTCATATGGCATCGTGAACGTCTCCCAAGACCACTTCCGCCTGGCTTTCTCATTGGCAAAGCGCAAGTCGAAGGAGGAGAGCAAATGAGCCAGAATCATCTTGATGACCAACGATGCATGGAACCGACCGGGGCTATTAGAACACGTCCATTAGACTTCTTCCTAGAATATAGAATTGGGGTTAACTCTTGACTTACCACGCCAGAGAGCCATATCCCCATATGGGAAATTTCTCGGAGACCTCGGTCAGCTTGGTGCCGCGAGCTGAGGACATCGTTGTGACAAAGCGTCGGCCATCGAATTCATCCGGGTCGGGATAGACCTCCTTGTCATGCATCAGGTTGAATGAAGACACGCAAGCGGTGGACCCCTTGGGGACGTGAATTCCCCCGTCGGAAAAGGTAAATTTTTCCAAGGCCTTTCTGCGGATCGCGACTAGAGACATCGTGTTAGATCAGGCAGCAGAATAAAACTAGAGCAGTTAATGAGTAACATACGAGTATCCAAAGGATTCATCCTGATCGTCTCCTTGATAAAGCTGTCCAGGAGAGGAAGTTTCTCGAGTCGGTCGTAGTCATACGCACTGAAATCTCCAATCTCATTTCGCAGTATAGACTGCCATTCTGGGCGTGCGCAGAGCTCCAACAGGATAAAGTCCAGGTTCATCCATGGCTGGTGCGATGCCGCAAACCAGATTCCTAGCAATGCCTGCGAGAGCACTTCCGGACTCCAATAGTCGTTGCCCTCAACCATTTCCGACATGTTGTGAATGATGGTCATCTATCACGGCTGTTAGTATTATCTCGCTGCATTTAGGATTGTGTTAGGCCCACCTCTTTAATCTCTGGTACCTCTTGCCAGTTCTTCTGGTTGACACCCAGGACGTTAATCAGCTGGTTCTGGATTATATGCATGGCGCGTCCACGATTGGTGAGGAGGGAATGAACCACTCTGCGAGTACCATTAGTCGCTTCTACTCCAATCTTTGATTTGATAAACTGGTTCAGAGGGATTCGTACGGAGAAAGGAATGATGGAGTCACTTGAAATGCCGCCATGCACTTGACCATATCAGCGGGATAGCGAAGAAGCGCCTCCGCAAACACAGGATCAGCGGCTGTGTCAGTTAGCGATTGTTATGAAATAACTAGGTAGATAAGGAACTCCAACGTACATAGACGTTCGCCAAAGAATAGGAGACTGTTCATTCTTGACGCTAGCCTCCGGACGGTTTGCGCAATGGGGATGGAAACAGAGCCTACACTCCATGTGAGTTGCTTCAACGCAATGAGCACGGTGATTGCGTACCGTCGATGAAAACCCCGGCTTCAAGCTCCTGAGATAAAGATTGCTCTAATCGCTTTTGGAGATGAGGATAGAGCTTCGCCAGGTTGGTAGGACCATTGACCTGGAGCAGGCGTCCGTAGAGACGCGAGCGGGCCACCTTGTGATCATGATGATCGAGCTTGTTCATTGTGTGTTTGAAACCGAACATCTAGATTATGTTCAGAATGTCTGGCTCAATCCCGAGTGGAGCAGCATACATACGTCGGCGTAGGCAGCGCGCTGAGATAGCACCGGTGCCTCACTCAGCTCCATGATTTGCCTTTTGCTGGACACGACCACGATTGATTTGGAGGACTTCCATGGCTTGTAGTATCTCCCAGAGCTCTGATTCTGTCAGATGGACTAGTTACTTCAGCGGTAGTGTGGAACATACGTAGTCATGGATGATCGAACCAAGATTAAGGAAATACTGGCCGATCTTGTCTGACACTGACTCTGGAAGTAGCTGGTGAACGTTAGCCCAAGGCCTGGACGTGAGAAGTCAAGTATACATACATAATAGAGCTCTGTAGAAACGAGAAAGACAACCGCACACCAAAAGAGGATGGGACTCGCATCGTCTAGGGTATCCAGTGCCATGATGGTAACAATAACAGCCGCGGAGATGAAAGTCGAGAGTGGAACCTTGCAAAAAGCAATAGCTGGGGATATGAAAATCTCTCCATTTTATATCTCTGTTTATAACACGAGTACCTTCCAGTTCACGAGGTATGAGTTGGAGGGGTAAAGAATAATCTCTACGTACCTTTGTCGCTTCAGGTAGGTCAGACTCGGTCATCATCATCACCCAGAAGTCGACCTCATTGGATCTGCCTTAGATGTGCAGCATACTGTGGACAGAATATTTGCAGGGATAGTTTGCCGGGATCCACTTCCTTTCGTCTGAACACTCTGTATATTGAGTAATTATGCTGTATCTTAACGTAGAGGTTTTAAAAGCCTTGTTTGATATGCAAAATGGCATTTACTCGCCCGGGGGCTGCAGTTCGGCGGATAATCCGAAAGGCTTCAAACGAGAAAAAGAATGTTTATGTCATTATGAACATTAAAATGAGCAGGCTAGCTTTTACCAGTCCTCTACTAGTATTGAGTGTACCACGAGCATGAATCTATGGAGATTGACAGGGGTTTAGGTTGGCATTCAATTTAAATGATACCATACAAAGCTGATCTTGGATTCTAACTTCAGTCAGAGAGAGGCTGAAAATTAGAGCAGTAGTACAGAGGTAATTGATAATAGGATCAACCTACACCTATCAAGGCTGAACAGGTGTCAATCCTACTAATATCTTTCCAGCACCTGCTGAACTGCGTCTCCCTAATGGTCTGAGCTGGTTGTATTGGATACTATTGATGATGGAGGATTCTTTCGCCTCTCCGTATTGTATCTCACCCAGCTACATCTATATGAGTGGTTTCTCCCTATTGGGAAGCTCATTGAAAGCCTGCCACCATCATCATGTTATAGTGGTGTTATTAAAGAAACAAGGTACTATGCAGAACCTTATCAGTCTTTCATCAGAAAAAAATCGAGTCTGCCTTAGGGCTGACGTGAGCGGATAATTATTTGTAGCTGATTGGAAGCCTGCCATCCTGTTGTCTCACAGTTGAATGTCAGAAGAAACTACCAGCCCGAACACTATACTAGAAATAATCAAGCCTGCCTTAGCAGGTTGCCGCGGCAGTTAATCTGCAAGTGGCTGCATGTGTTATCCATGCAGCTATATTGATCGTTAGCCTCAGGTATATGCGTATTTAGGGCCGCTTATGATACTTCCCCTCATACCGGCTATTACCTTGTTTGTCATGCAGCTTGGCCTGCATCGGCAGAGCCTAATACACATAAATTTTTCTAGCAATTCAAGATCACAAACCCACAGGCGGCTGGAGATCAACTATGCAGAGACGAGACCATCCTGAAGAAGAATATACATAGTCTCCAATTCCCTGGCGAAGGTTACTGGATTTACACTGCGTATATAAGGTCAGAATTTTGATCTTGGACAGTCACACAATCAATTATGGCAAACACATCGACAACGCTCTCTATAGTGCAGGGCTCAGCTGAACATGCTCTCTGGGAGTTAACACTCGGTCAGCTGGTTGACCAGCAGGCTGAAGGATTCGGCTGCAAAGACGCCATCATTGTCCCATGGAGCTCCGCGCGACTGAGCTTTCGACATTTGAGTCAGCGAAGCCAGGACTTGGCCAAGGGCCTTTTGGCCAAGGGGGTCGTAAAGGGCGACCGAGTGGCGATATTTTCCAGCGATGATGAAAGATTCATTGAGCTCTTCTTTGCTGTCGGACGAATCGGGGCCATTCTTGTGGTCCTCAACAAGACATACACTGTGCAGGAATGCGACAGAGCACTTCGATATTCCGGTGAGGATTGATATTTTCTTGCACCGCTGACTCTTCTGCTAATTGACCGAATTGAAGAACCTAATATTCTTTTTCTGGGCGATATTGTAAACCAGAGACCATCCGGGCCACTGGTGCAGCACTTGCGAATGCGGCCAGTCCCAAGCTTAAAGCATGTTGTCTTGATACGATCCGATACAAGTGTTCAGGAGCAAATAAGCACTTGGGATGATATTTTTCATGCAGGCCATCTAGTGACCATGTCGACACTTAGACAGGCCGAGAGTACTGTTCATTGCAGGGAGGTGGTCAATTTCCAATTCACGAGCGGCACCACGGGGGTGCCGAAAGCCGCTATGCTCAGCCATTTGTGAGTTTACAGCCTGATTACATTTATCGCGTACTGATCAGGAACCAATCAGCAATCTCATCAACAATGGACGATTCATAGGTGAGCGTCTGAATCTGACTGCAGATGATGTGGTGTGCTGTCCGCCCCCGCTATTCCATTGCTTCGGGCTTGTCGCAGGGATGTTAGCCGCTTTCATCCATGGAAGTACTACTGTCCTTCCACATCGGGATTTTGATGCGCGCGCTGTTATCGATGCGGTGGTGGCGGAGCGCTGTACAGTACTGCATGGGGTGCCGACCATGTTTGCCGCCATCCTGCAGGATTTACACCAAACCGGGATTGAGATTAGGACACTCCGGACCGGTATAATGGCTGGATCCAAGGTGCCCCCAAGTCTGCTAAGGGAGGTCCACGAGAAACTAGGCTATCGGGATATTGCAATCACTTATGGTATGTCCGCTGCCTTCAATATGTGGTACGCTGTAATAATAATGATGCATACTAGGCATGACCGAGACTTCGCCAGCAAGCTTCATGACAAAATCTTCAGATACCGAACTACAGAAAATGGAAAGCGTCGGAGCGGCACTCCCGCATGTGCGAGCAAAGGTGGTTGATGGCCACAACAGGGTCCTGCCGCGGGGTTCTCGCGGCGAACTTTGCGTATCTGGTTACCTTCTGCAACAGGGTTACTACAAGAACCCAGAAAAGACAGCTGAAGCCATGATCTGCGATGCGCAGGGGATATTGTGGATGCATACAGGTGACGAAGCATTGATTGATGAGCAAGGATATTGCCAAATCACTGGAAGACTCAAGGATATCATTATCCGAGGTGAATATTTCTCATTGATGCTTTGCATCCCGTCCAACGTCCGTTCATTAACATGTGATCATAGGAGGCGAAAATATATATCCCCTCGAGATCGAAGAACGGTTGATGTTACATCCGGCAATTGAGCAGGCTAGTGTTGTCGGGGTCAAAGACGAAAAGTACGGCGAGAGTGTTTGTGCCTTCCTTCAGTCACGGGCCGGTCATGACAGGCCATCCCTCACCGAGGTTAAAGACTGGGTGCGCAGAGGACTCGGGCGACACAAAGCCCCAGAATTCATATGCTGGGTTGGGCCGCATGATCGAATCAGCCAATACCCCGCGACTGGAAGCGGGAAGATTAGAAAAGATATCCTGAGGGAGATGGGAAATGAGATGGTTGAGCACACAAGAAGAGTTCTACCAGCTAAGCTGTGATGCATGGAGGCTAATACAAGTCTCTGAAGATAGTGTTTCATCGGGTTAGGGACAAATGATTGTCAGACGTGGAGCCTGCAGCTAGCTCAAATAGTATGAACAAGGGGTTGAATGACAGAGTGAGATTTTAGCGCAAAAGTGAGGGGGCCAGGCCTGACATGTCAACTACATCATATTGAGGCTTTTAGTGGATTGTGTTACTTATTTGACAGAGGGTAGTTTTTAAACTTATAAATCAGCCCAATCACTAAATTCATTTGAATGGACTAAGATTCTGGCCATTGTCACTGCTCTTTCAGAGACACTGGTACATATCCTTTGAGCATGTCATTTATTATACACTGCTTGATAGTAACATACTATAGGAGCTTAGGTACAAATAAATGTCCATCCAATGGTACTTTTGGAAACTTCAGAACTATATAAGATTACTGAGTCACTAGTAATTTGCCTACCAATGAGAAAGTTTAGAAGGTATGATTCTTTCTCATCTATCCGTACCTTATTATCTAACTAGCTAGATTTTATACTATTAGATAGGGTATTAAGATAGGGGTAAATAACTAATTTTAGCCTTACAGAGAATATAATCTATCTAATTAGAATTAGGAAGGTGGAAGTGATATGCCCAATTAGGCAAGTGGTCATCTATATCAAAAGTACTTTTTATCACTTTGCCCCTCCTCTTACCATTCTGCAGCCATCACATATTCATCAGATGCAGGTAAGCATTTAGCATATATCCCCGCCTGTGAGCACACTATCATACCCACCAGTGACACATACTCTATCAGCGCTACAAGGGGCAACAACTGATGCGGATTGTTGCTGAGACTGGTCAAATAGTGGGTCTTCCAATGCCCTAAGCAGGCCCTCTGCTGATTGGTCACTCCTGTGTATTTTATATTTTGTATTGATGTTCTGGCCAATCGGTTCAAAGATATGCATGGTGGCCTGCAAGACCCACTATTTGACAGGGCTTGGCAACTGCCTAATGGAGACTGACCAGTTGACCCTCTGTGGGGATTTCTGGGAGTGATATCTCACCAGAAGAGTAAGTAAGCACCGAGTCATGTATTTGACTCGCCACCAACATGACGTGCTCATCATTTACTGTATTTCGAATCCTCAGAGGGTGTGATGTGAAACATTTTTGCAGTAGACGGCAAAGTGAGTCGTTTAGCTATAAGTATAGATACCGATAGAGGACTGTGCAAGGGTTAGACTCCATAACTGATTGGGATCAATCTTCAAGCCTGGATATTACATTCCAATCTACCTGACATAGTAATTTCTGTTTTCAATTCCGGTCTGCACCCGGACATCGACGATGAGATTCACTGACATAATGACAGCCGTGCCATTGCAGAATTCATCCTGGGGCCCTCGTCTTCGCTCCCTTGGTGACGCTTCTCTGGGGATAGATCCCACATCAAATGCCTATCCTTCTATTCAATGTTTATCCTACCTGGTTATTGTCTTCACACTTTTGTTTCTAGTTTATGTTCTTCGACGCCCCAAGTCCCGGCTACCACTTGTGAACCCGAGAAGGTTGTTTGAACTCTCTGACAGTCGGGTCAAAAGGGAGTTCATCTCCGGTGCCCCTGAGATAATGGAGAAAGGCTTCAGCCTCACTGGCAACAGACCCTTCCGTATCATTGCAGATATAGGCGAAGTGACTATTCTTCCGCCGAGCCTGGCAAATGAGGTCCGCAACAATGAGCACCTCAGCTTTGCCAAGTACATGTATCGGGTAAAGCGGACTGGAGGCCAACCGGCAATGCACCTATACTGACACCACTTAGAATTTTCACGCCCATCTCCCCGGATTCGAGGCCTTCATTGAAGGTGGTCGGGACTCACGCCTGGTGAAACACGTCTCCCAACGGCAGCTTACAACCACCTTAAGTATACAACTCAGTGCTTATCAGTCCTTGGAGCTCGTCAATGCTGACTAGCTGCTCCTAGATAAAATTACAGTGCCCCTGTCCGAAGAATGTTCGTTATCACTTCAGGAAATCTTCACTGATAATGAATGTAAGTACAGGACTGTGATTATGGGGAACGGGTTTCTAACCATGCAAAAGCCTGGCATAATATTGTTCTCAAAGACGACATCATTTGCATCGTCGCTCGTCTCTCGTCAAAGGTCCTGCTGGGAGATGAACTGTGTCACGACACCCAGTGGCTGAAGCTCACAGCACAATACACGACAGTGGCGTTTCAAGCCGCGCAGTACCTACGAATCTTTCCATACTACACTCGCTACTTTATCCATTGGCTTCTGCCCGGCTGTTGGACGGCTCGGGCACAAGTAAAGGAGGCCAGGTCAATAATCGGAGCTGTTTTGAAACAGCGGCGCAGGCAGAACGCTGCCCTTCAAGCCCAAGGCAAGAAAAGGGTTGAGTACAATGATTCCATCGAGTGGTTCGAACAGGCTGCCAAAGGAACCTACTATGATCCTGCAATATCGCAACTGATGATGAGTTTCAGCTCCATTCATACTTCCGCGGAGTACGTGTCTGGCGCCTGGGTTCCCTCCACGGTTCCTTGAATTTTTGAAACATTTGCTGATTTGATGATTCTGATAGTCTCATTACACAAACTATCTTTGATCTCGCTGAGCATCCGGAAATGATTGAACCGCTGCGCAAGGAAATTCTAGCGGTCCTCGGCGAGCACGGCTGGACAAAGATCGCACTATACAAGCTCAAACTGATGGACAGCGTTATCAAGGAGACACAACGTCTCAAGCCTGTTCTCTCAGGTGAGTATTCCTGTATGCGGTCCTATTCGAGCATGACGAAGTAACGTACGCTACGTACAGCAAGCATGCGTCGCGTTGCTACAGCGGACGTGAAGCTTTCCGATGGCACTACGATCCGCAAAGACTCCATGATTGCCGTCTCCGCAAGGGGTCAGCGGGATCCCGCTGTGTACAAGGACCCTGACCACTGGGACGGCTATCGGTTCTACAACATGCGGCAGACTGCCGGTCACGAATGCGTTGCACAGCTGGTTAGTACAAGTCCAGATCATCTGGGTTTCGGACACGGCCAGCATGCGTGTCCAGGTCGCTTCTTTGCCGCCAACGAGGTCAAAATCTTCCTCTGTCATTTTCTGCTCAAATATGACTTCACGCTGGCCGAAGGATCTGTGCCCCGGCCGAGATGCTCGGGTTTCCATATAAACTGTGATCCAGTCGCGAAGATCTCTCTCCGCAGGCGCCAGGGGATTGATCTGTCGGTACTGGAGGCGTAGGGTTGTCTTTTCGCTTTTACTCTCTCCACAGAAATGCAGCTTCCTAGCATGGTTTTGAACTGCGGTTATTTGGGGTTCAGAGGAGCGAAATTAGTCCAATCACAGTACATCAACATTTCTGGTCCTTAAAAAGTCTGAAACCTCTTAACTCACTTCAGACTATATGAAAGTTGCTCTTTATCATTGAGCCATTAAAGCAAGAGTGTTGAATCCGCACCCAGTGCCAACTGGATATTAAGCGTCTGTTCAACAGGTTTCGAGGGATTTCTGGGGGAAAGCCATTGATCCCAACGGATTGAAGTAACATATAATAAGGAATTCTTAGGGAGAACAAGATTCTCGCATGCCCTATATAATATGGAATTTCTCTGGCTATTCATTTGTCATTTATATGTCAGGCGGACAAAAAATCATAAACGCATGCCAATAGCACATAGTAGTGAACGGCCTAATTAGAATAAATAGAATAACTATTACCCACTTCAGGTTAAGTGACTCTTCGATATCCTAGAAAGCACAGACATTAGTAGAAGGAAAATATATTCAAATATGTGGAGGTGCTAAACCAATTATAGAAAAGTAAAATCAGCACACAGAAGTGAAGAGTGAGATTCTTCATGGGGTAAATACAGGATAAGCTCCTTGTAGCGTGCTAACATAATAGCCTAGTACATAGCCCCATTCACTAGGACAATAATGACATAGTAACCCAATCCCAACTTGAAGCGACCAATCCAGTCATACTAAAACGCCTATTTATGGTCGTTGGCTGCATCCTCACGTGACTTATACGAGCGCAGCCACAATGAGATGACTGATGACTGATGACTGATAGGGAATCAGGATATTCTGAACATGTCTCAACGAGTCTCCAAACTTGAATTCACCAGCACAATCTGCCACTCTGGGTGACTAGAACATGTTCAGCGACGGGTCTGCTCGCTCCACCAAATCAAAGGCAAAATGTTACACGTGCCGACGGCAACGGATCGTGTGTGATGCCGGGAAGCCGTCTTGTATGCGATGCATATCCCGAGGAGTGGAATGTCTGGGATACTCGGCTACACCAATCCGCTGGGTGGCGCCTACATCTATTGTTTCATCAGAGACACCAAGACCATCAGACATTAGCCATGTCAAGGGCCAGGAGCGGAGAAAACGAGGACGACCGAAGCTATTCCTCATGCAGGGAGCGCCTCAGTCCTCCAGTTTCCAATCAGATCCGCATCGATCTGATGACAATCCCGATTCGGACAAAGGTGCGCATAGTGGAAGCACCGTCCAGATGAAATAGTAACCACAGAGCTCTAACTTGACTACTGCGGACTGCCAGCTGGCGCGCTCGTCTCTCGCTCGAGATCAAATCCAAAGAATGCGGGAATTCCGCGGTCGTTTTTTCCATGTGACTACGAGATGAATAAGATGGTCCTAGAGTTCTCCCATTACTGTATGTGAAGGCCGCAAGTACAGACTCCATGATCTGAGAGCTGACTTTGTACAGTCAACGACCACGTCTGCCCGGAATTGGTCATTGTAGATTCTCCTCTGAACCCAAACCGGATGGATCTCAACATACTCCCCTATATCCCCGATTTCTTGCTCAGTCTCCTGATTTCGGCCTCTGCAATACACCAAGTAATCCAGTCGCAGCCCAATTGGCATCAGATCACTGTCAATCGATCACGGGCCTTGCGCGCTAAAGTCCACCCTGGCGAATTGGAGCCTCTCCAATCGTTTCG